GGTTCGTCCTTCTCCTTTTCGTCCCCCCCACGCCCGACGGGTTCAGTATTGGGGGCCACCGGACGTTAGCCGGGCGACGGTAGCGGGAGATCGACTGATCTGAGCATATCGGTGATTATCTAGAGCTCCGCGTGCGTGTGGCAGCCACTTCGTACGCGGTGTGTCAGCGGCGTTCCGCGATCTACCCATGGGGGTAAAGGATAGGGTTTCACTACTTACACAGATGTGAGATGAGGCTACCGGAGGCTTCGCCAAAGGGTGTTATGACATCGGAAACATGGAATCGGTATGGAAGATGACGAGGTGTCGTCGTAGCATAGCGTAGGAATAAACACGAATACCTAGATGATGCATGCTCGTCCACTCAGCAAATCCATCGGTTAGAGCTATAGTAAGCTCGGGAATCATGGTAGCCTGGTCACATCCTCAGCCATGCCTTCCGCTGAGTGGTTGATCTTGGGAGCCTTGTCAAAAAAACGCCTTGGCTATTCGAAACCGTCGCTTTACCCTTCTTTTAACCCAACGTGACAAGATGGTAAGCAGTCATAAGATTCGACTAGGACTGGTGATCTGGTGTCTGTGTTACCCATCGTCTAAGTAAGGTCACAGGATTTTAAGCCGTAGTACACCTTCTGGCTAGTTGACCGCTTGAGAAACATTCTAGAAAACTCGAGAACTAATCGGAGAATAGGTAGGGCGGCGTTAGTGAATCAAACACGACCGCTGAGTTGTCCGACCATGATGTACAAGCGGCTAGAACAGGACTCGACGGTCTTTTGCCCAATGCCGTACGAAGGCGCATATTATTTTATTTTTACTTGCTTGAAGTTGTATTAAAGGGAAAGCGGGCGGTAAAGTTTAGGGCAAGCCTTCGGACTGCGGAATATGTTCAGAGGACGATTTGTTGCTGACCTTGAACACGGCCGTATCTCACGATACCTACCGTCCAATAGCACCCGCTATCATATGATAACCATTCTCGTTGGATTGTTGGTAGAGCTTGGTATCCGGCAGGTAAGGCTTAGCCTCCAGGTGTTTGATTTTGTTGGTTGGTTATACTCCTATCAGAATCAAGGTCTGCCTATTCGAAGGTCTCAAGTGGGCTGAGGAAGCGGGAAGCTTAAGTTAGCCTGGGTACACGGCGCCTAAAACGACTATGCGCCTGTACAGACGATCTACCACGTGTGTTCAGCTTGCAAGGGTGGCTAACACGCGGTTCCAAGAGTTTAAAGGGATTACATTTGAACGTCTATCTTCTATCGTCGGGCATAGCTAGATGGTCATAGACCGGTCGGTTCCTTAGCCTAACCGGCCGGGGTGTGTCGTATGTAGAAACTGATTTCTCATGCTAATGTTATGAGGTATATAATATGTTTTGTACGTATATCGAATGTGCTCTTTCCGCCCAATCTAGACTAGGAACCCTAGATTAATGAAGAGCTGGGCCCTAGGTATCATCGACATCTGTCGTCACCCCAGAGTTGGCTGTCGACGGAGCTTTTGCTACGGTGTATCTCCTCAATGTCTCCCTATTTCGTATGAGAGGTAGGTGGTAAAGGCATAGGCAATGCGTGTGAATGTTAGGGGTAAGGGATAGTGGTAGCGAACTACCCGATAAAGGAAACCTCACTAAATAACGCGGTTACAATATTCGTGCTTCTGAATCTTCCATACCTTAACTATGGGAATGGTCTGCTCTCCATCTTGGACTTACATAAACCAATCACTCCATTACTAAATTAGGTAACTCTAAGTAGGGAAACTGTAGGAAGCCAATTTGAAACGGGCTCTACAAAACGTGCCTTGGCTCATGGATGACATATGATTCGAGAAGCGCGATATACATAATGCCAAATGCCGCGAGGGGTTCCGAGGTGTTGTCAAGCATCGCATCCCTTGATACTATAGCAGCCCAATCATACAGGGGAGGTTGAATGATTCGCCACTTGGGCGGCTTTCTTCTTATTCACCACGGTAGACCGCGAATTGTGCTTCAATAGCCAAGGTAAAATACCTACGTACGTAGTCCTGTTAATCTTAATCACGAGTTGGGCAACACGACAATTCGACCACTTATGGATAACTGTAGTCTGTCTAGCTGAAGTGATTGAATATGCATAGCCTTCTGTTTCGAGAATTCCGCGCCATTAAAAACGCATGTCTACTATGTACCTACATGAGACGAGGCGAGACGCCGGACCCAGAGGATCGGGCCGGGCCACGAGGCACGAGGATTAGAATCTGAGTGACTTTTCTCTGACCAATTCCAAGTAACAATTGTGACTGAAAAGAAGATATCGCAGTCGCAGCCAGAGAGGAGGGACCATTGGGTTCCAATCGAGTTAGCGTTGAAGCCCGAATCACCAAAATAAGCACCAATGAGCGTTCGGAACCAGACCTCACCATCCCAACAAGCTCAAGAGGGCGGATGAGATATACTCTGTAAGGTGAAGATGACAAAAAAGGAAAAAGAAGTTCTGGCGATTGGTTCTGCTATTATTGTTGCTATGGCGAGAGAGTGTGATTAATGATGAATGTCGCAGCCGACAGAATAATAGGCAGTTTTTAAACCTCGGAAGAATATGTGCTGGAGACACCAATACGTGTTGCGTTAAGGTGACAATTTGACAATTAGAGGGAACGGGGCCTATTCGTCGTATGTAATTATCAACAATACTCATTGGCGGGTTACCAAATTGGAACTATGGTTGGTAGATTCCAAGAAAATGTTAAGAGACAAAACATTCCATATTTACCTATCAACACGAGAGAAGTCGAAATATTCGAAACCTAGGGATGTCTACGTAGAAGCGCTCAACAAAATACATATACATATGAAAAGGGCCAACATCCAATTTCCAATATTAGCAACCGACCGATACTAGCTAACTAACACTTATTAGTCTATGTCTATAATAGATCCAGGAACCATTGAACACTTACACGCCAGTTCTGGTACCTACATAGATTGCTTACTTGATAAGTCCATTCCCACTTACATACTGCATACTACTACGCACATATAATACGCTGGAATTTGAAAGCATTTCCAACCCATCCCCACGACATTGCGACTGTATGTACAGTCGATCCTACCTGCGACGGACAGAATAGCGGCGTAATTTCTCGGGTCGCTGATCTTGATTCGGGTGCTATTTGGTTCGTGTTCCTGGGGGATAATACGATCTAGGAAGGAGAAAGAGAAAGAGAGAAAAGCGTACTAACACATGTTGCGGAATATCTAGGTCAATTTACCTGGTCTTTTTTATTTTATTTTTATTTTTATAGGGAACATTTGATCCTTTCGTTAAACCCTACCTAGGTACCCTTCCCTTCGAACGGGGATTCTCCTAGTCTTCCGGTTCAGCGTAACCAGCCCTCGGCCTAGGTCACCCAAGCAGCCAAGTCTACCATTAACGCAACGCGATTCTATTTTGCGAAGCGGGACGTCATCGCCGAGCATTCTCCATCCTATTCGCCAAGTGGACACATCCTCCACCACACCATCGTCATTGTTACTATTTATCATATTTCATTTACATAGAGCGACGTTGCTTTTGCTCTATTACATACCTCCCCGTCTTGGTCTACATAGGTAGCTTTCTTAGCTAGCCTCTTGGGCATTCTCTCTTAACTTGACCGGGAAACGGGGTTTCTTGTCATCAGATCAGTTGACGTCGTTTCGACAACGGAATTCTCCAAAAAAGAAACCAATAGCAGGACGTGAAGGGGACGGTTTCGAAATTCTACCGTGTTTCTTCTCATTTCGAACCATACGACTTGTTCAATCAAATCACACCCCACCCCCCTTGCTGCAATGCATGGCAAAACCACACCTACATATACATACATGACCTGACCTAACCTTAACTGACATCTTACCTAAGAGTTCACCTAGCTGCACAAGGGTGAAATCCACCAGCTAGCTAGGTTAGAAAATAGTTAGTTACAGGCTTCTCTCACCAGTCGTTTCGTTTATTCCCATATAGAGAGCCTCTTGGCTATTATTACTATTCCCGCCAACGGATACTTTCTTTATAACTACCTCAGTTATATAGAGAATTATCTATTTGCTTGGTCGGTCCACTGCCGGAGCGAGGGGGATAGTAGGAGTCGCACATCGCACATATCCGACGGACGTCCATTATAGAGTTGAGAGATTTAAGTCCGTGATTGCGAGGCACACAAAAGCACGACACCCCGCTACACTACATCCTGCTACATCCTGCTACATACTACCTACTACTACATACGCTCATTATTGGCTATATTACCAATTCGACTTGGAGGGTAGAGGGACGGATCCTCTTCAGGCAAATACAATAAAGCCGATAAAGCGCACAGTCCCACAACCATCACCGCGCACCTGGTTGATCTCTTGGGCCGGTTCCTCTAGTACATTCTTGCACCATTCTTGCACTTTTGGTCGGGGATCACTTGATCCATCAGATCTGGAACAACTTACATGATTTGCCTCTTCCCGGCTGAAGAGTTCGTGAAAGTTTGTAAGAGTGTGTAAGAAGAGAGAGAGACCAGGCAGAAAGCAGAGAAGATCTGTAACCTACAATACTGAATACTGTATTGTACCTTGTGGCTCGTGGCTGTCTCAAGGGTCCCCATCCTGCCATCCTCTTAGTGGCCCAATTTCACCGCCGGTTCCCTGTTCTGCAGCAGTGCAGCCCAACCCGACGACACAAACTCGTAACGATACAACCCCTCCAACCTTTCAGTCCTTCCATGGCTTCTACCCCGCGGTACTAGGGACCCTTATCGTCGCCAGTTTCTTTACCAGGATATTCGATATTCGTTTATTCGTTCCTTGGTATGTACATGTAACTCCATGTCCTCTATCGGCCTCCCGTTCTCCGTACCTTGACTGTCGCCATTATAAAAAAATTTCACCATATTCTCCGAGAGCCATTTGGAATTCTTAATACATAGGCTTACTTTTACTCACCTATTTTGTTCCAGGTAGACCCATTCTTTTTTTTTTTCTATTTTCTATGACCTGACAAAAACGTACGGAAGAGAAGGGCACAAGACTCCTTTCGCCCCCAAATTTGGAAAATCTTCTACTCACGAAACCTGGTCATTTTCACACCAGACCTAATAATATAAGCCGGACATAATTACGTCCGTCCCACCCCCGTCTTTGCGGAATTTCCAGCTTTTCTAAATTTTGCTCTATCCTTTTTCTCTGACTCACATCCAAAAAGACAACCCACCAACCAACCCGCCAACCCGCCAACCCTCAACCCTCGACTAAGAAGACGAATTTTGGTTACATCGTGATCGTGATCGTTGTTGGCTAGCAGAAGACTTGCGCTGCGTCATATTATATTCTGAATAAGCTAAATAAGCTAGTCGACACTATGGCTGAGCCACGATACCGTTATTCGGGTCGTAGGTCGCCTCAAGTTAACCCCGCGCGAGCATCGATGCCCGTGAATATTGGGTATAACCCTCATTACAGCGGGGATCTTCATACAGTTCAGACGGCTCGTTATGATGCCGCTGTCCCAAGAAGAGCGACTGATCATAAAGTGACCTCGAATCCCACTGCTACTATCACCACTTATAACGTTACTAAAGAGCCTGCTGCTGCTGCTGCATCTGCTTCCGCCGCCGCCGTCGCCGCACAACGAAGCTCTAATTCGAATACATCCCGTCGTCGTTCGTCGACGGTAGATACCAATCCTGTAAAGCCTATTATAGTTACCACCAATCACGCTTCTCGACCTCACGGCGCCTCCTCTCATACGTCGTCTGCTGCGCGTACAACTAGTCCGTCGCGCGATCCCTACCGGTCAAGCGATGAAACCTACTATACGCAACCGGCCTCTTCAATACGTTCTCGAAGCCAGGCTCGATATGGCCATGGTTATACTCAAAGCGCAACCTTAAGCAATGAGGAATTCTCCCGATTGAGGGAACGAGTCGGCGACGACAGACTTCGACCCCCAACGCATGTCGCAACCGATTATTACCGCTCTTCGCTTCCTCATGCCAATTATACGACTCCATCCTTCGACCTCAATAGCACGGCAGTCGTCGATTATGATAACGAAGGCTATGAGTATACAAAACCTAGCGATTTGGCTAGGTACGATTTGGATCATGATCGCCAGCTACCCCATAGAAATCGGAGGGAGAGTCTTGATCGTTCTTACCACCGTCCTACCGTAAACGTCGTGAGTAACGATCTGGGTCGTTATGATACTCGCGGTCGCGGACCACCTCCTTCATCTAGCGCACTCGAGCGTTACAACAGAACTACAGCCGCTGGTGTCTATGATCGTCCTACCGTTACTATGCCTGCTTTACCACCGGTACCTGCTGCTCCGCCGGTTGATCCCCTACGCCGGATTGAAGCCCCGAGAGACCCGTCGCCAGACCGCAAGACAGCTCGACCGCGCCCAGTTTCTTTATATCAAGACGCGCCAGCGCGCATGTCGCATCCCGAGGAAATCTACCGCTCCAAAGATGACGAGCGCCTGCATCGTCGCCAGGACCGTAAGGACGGATACCGCGATGATGATGTCCCTGCTCGCGGATTCGGGATCCGCACGAACACGAACACATTAGAACCGGAGCGCGCGGATCGTCCGGCAAGGTCAGTTGATCGGCGCGATTACGACGATCGACGCCAGCGACGAGACGTAGCAGAGCGCGAGCCTCGACGCCGCTCTGATGAGTCGATCGACTATACTCGGAGTCACGATTCTCGAAAGCCTACTGAGGACACCGTAAGCCGAACTAACTCGGTCCGGGACCCAAAGGATAGCGTCAGCCAGAAGAACGGCGTAGGTGGCCGAACTCGCGACAAAATCGCCGCCGGACTGGGTGTCGCTGCTGCTGCGGCGGTGGGCCTTGTACCCAGGGACACTACTAAGGATGATGATCGGAAAGTTTCACCACGACGACGAGACCCCGATGAAGATAAAGACACCGGAAGCTCTCGCACCGCGGATAAGTATAAGCCTAGGGAGAAGGATATAGAACGAAAAGCCTCCCCTCGAGAAGAGCCAGTCGCCGTAGACTCGCGACGGGAATCCCGGAAAGAGCAGGCGGACTCGACGTCAAGCTCTAGGGAACGCGAAAGGGAACGCGAACTTGAAAGGGAGCGTGTCCGTGAGCGGGCTTATGAGCGCGAACGTGAGAGGGAGCAAAGCCAGCGCGAGATCGAGAAAGAACGGGAGCGGGAACGAGAGCGAGAGAAAGAAATATTGCAGCGAGAGCGTGAAGTAGAACGAGAGGCTGAACGTGAACTCGAGCGCAATAGCCGGGATGATAAAACCAGAGTTAACGGATCCGCCGCTGTAGACTCGAAAGACGACTCGTCAATCCCCGAAGACTCTATACCAGCAACGCGAAGGCGGCGCCGTAACTCTTCAACCTTTGATCCTACAGACACGGTTGATCTGCTGGACGTAAAAGCGGAACTGGCCGCAAAAGAGGATCAAGACAAGACAAAGGAGAAGCCAACCGCCAAGGAGGCAGTATCAGACAAGGAGACGACTCGTTCTGCTTCCGTGGAGCGTATGTCGACCGGCTCGCGCGAAGAGTCTCGCGGCCGTGATAACATCACTGCTGCAGAGAGGGAGAAGCAAGTCCGGGTCGTCTCGCCTCCGCGAGAGAAGTCTGATCAGAAGCCCATCAAGGGCATCCTAAAGCCGCCGAGCGCAAAGTTCCCCGAGGATCAAAACCCTATCCGAGAAGGCGTCGCGCCGCACAAGGACGACAAGACGAAGAAGGGCGTCCCGCCAGGTGCCCGCTGGACCAAGATCAACAGGAAACTGATCAACCCCGCCGCCCTGGAGAACGGCAAGGAACGCTTCGAAGTCCGCGACGACTTCGTCATCGTTCTACGGGTCTTGACCAAGGAGGACATCCAGAAATACGCCAACGACACCGCCAAGATTCGAGGTACGTTCCAAGTCGAGGCAGCTAGCTAGCTAGCTAGCTATATAAGCCTACCTATCCATCCCATATCTATCTATTCCAAAACACAACACATTTACTAACGAGCAGAGCAGCCGAGAAGAGGAGAGAATACGAGAAGCAGTTCGGCCAAGAGCGCAACTACGAGTCCCACCGCGAGGACCGCGACTACTCGGACGACGAGAGGCGCATCCATCACAGCAACCCTCGCGACCACAAGAACGACCACGACTACAGAAAATACCGCGACCGGGACGACGACAGAGACCGTCCCCGCCGCGCGCACAGGCACGGTTCGGATTCCGACGACGGCGACGTCCGCGGCCGGAGGGCGATCGAGTACGACGTCAGCAGCAACACCAGCCACGAGACCCGTCCCCACCGTTCTTCTCATCGCGACTACGACGCCGTGTCTACCAAGGCAAGCGACAGGCGTTAGTTAAGCCAGCCTACCTTTTCCGCGACTACTACTACTACTATATAAAAGATGTATATGATACGCTATTTTCTCGTTCCCGTGTATCCATCCATCCATCCATCACCGAGGAGAACCAACCGTCTTCAGATCTATCTTTTGAGATATGTAGACTCGAGCGCGTCAGGGGTATATATATATATATACCTACCTATATATGTGTGTATGTGCGTGTGTATATGGAAGAGAAGAAGATGATACGATACGATGCATGTAAAGAAAGATGTATGTGTGCGGGAAGGGATGATGGAATTTTTTTTTCTTTTTTTTTCTTTGTTATCTTACGTATATACGAATGATTACGATACGACTTACATGTATGCGGGTTGACGAGCGAGCGAGCGAGCGAGCGTGTACGGAGCAAGGGTGCAAGATAAGGGAAGGAATAAGGATATATAGGTATTTTGGGGTTTTTCTAGATTATTATGTTATGTATAGTCCGTCGTTTGGCTTTTTCTTTTTTTCTCTTCTCCATCTCTCTGATGACCCTTTCCCCTTTGTTACCACTTACAATTATCACCGCCAAAAAGTCAGATACCCGCAGAAGAAGAAGACGAAGAAGAAGAGCGCTACGAGGAAGAGTTGCGAAAAGGGGGGTGGTGGGGAGCTGAGTTGGATGATGTGACAGACAGGAAGGTCTTAGTTAGATATACCCCGTAGATTCCTTTCGTGTTTTTTTATATTTTATTTTATATGAATGATACGAGTTATGCAAATGGAGATATGCTATGTATTCGACAGGTTCTCAAGTACTATACCTACAAAGAATGTATGTAATGTCGAAAAGTAGAGTGAAATGACTAGGTAGTAAGTAGTTACGGTGTGAGTGAGGCTTATGTGGCTAACGAGCTGAAAAGGGAGCCATGTATGTATATTCTTTGTAAGCCCAAGATATTTTTAATTTATGGTTTGTCATATCTATCACCCCTTGGGTCACCATACCATACCACACATCTGCCACTAAGCTTATTAGTTTGTTTACTCGTACGTGCGAGACGTAGGTAGAGGTAGGTACTTATCCGTGCCCTCTCGCCGTCATCTCACTACGGCACCGGCCCGTCCGGGTGGGTAACGCAGGTAGGTATCCGCGCCATGTCTTTTTATCTTTCAATAAGCAAGTATCTAAAGGTAGTACATACAACAGGTTTCCCTCCTAAATAAGTGACTCGGCGAGGTCAGTTACCTACTACGATACGGTTATCACAACAATTGCTCTTCCGTAATTACCTACCTACATAACCTAACCTAGGCAGAGAGAAAGGATACCTAGGTAGGATAAGATGGATAAATACCTACGCGTAGACACTAGCTACCTACGGTGCTCGAATTTACTTCAGCTGTTGTAAAGATGATCGGGTAGATGCGTAAATGATATGGGCACCTGGTATCTCGAGATCTGACCCCCTGAGGCACGGTTTTGAGACAAGGTGGCCGTGTGGCCACAGCCGGGCGCTCCCGGACCGCAGTGTCTTATAAATACGGGCCGTTCCTGATGCCATGTCGGTGTGAGAGATGAACTCAGAAATAATGGAACGCGTTTTTATTACCTACCCCCCCGTGATGACCACTTGGGTAGGTACCTTTGGATTAAGTAGGTAGGTTAGGTAGGTAAATAAGAAACTAGGCGATATGGATTAAAATAGGGGAACAAACAGTCAGGTATCCTCGCTTGGTGAACGAGTAAATTTTAATACCTGGGAACTTACAAATCTCCCGGATCTCTTGCTAGGTACTTCTTAGTTGATACCTAAAATCATAGGACGCCAATATTATTTTCTACTTACTTTACATGCCTTCTCAATAAGAAGTCTAGAGTCCGAGGTAGAATAGATTAGGAGCCCATCCCTCAAGTAGTAGTTGTATATGTTATTAGTCGCGTGCCATCTTCGCATTAAGGGGCTGTCTGCTGTTCAAATTGACTCAGCCACTAGGTATGTTAGGGACTTAATAAGTCGCGAAGCCTAGAAAGTCCGGTGCATCGTCCGCCGTTTTAAGAAGTTAATATCTAGGCCGCCAGGCGCTCTTGTCTCGGGAGGCGCGGGTAACTAACTTAGGCATCTAACGGCCTCACTAACCTTAAGACAACCGCGCATCATGTATGGATATACGAACGTCGTAGCCCATCATATCCATTAAGCACACATAGCTAGATGCATACCTACCAACCAATACTAATTGAAATGACTCCTCTTGCATATGGCTCAAGTCACAACATGTGAATAAGATGAGGAACTCATCCCAAAGGGTAAAGTAAAGTCACTGCTAGTATTGATATGAAGTTATACGTGTCTGTCTCACTGGCTTATAAGACTAGCCATGATCAGTTTAGAGAAACCCGATCACTGACGCCCACTTCTTGCCTATCACATGTGGCTACTGAACCTCATGCTCCCTCACCCCTTTTCATCACCCTTGACCGACAACGAAAAATAAACTAGTGTTTGGTATCTCTCGTACAGCTACCCCCTTTTTTTGCCTGCGTGGAAGGGCTTATAGCATATTCTCATTTTGTTCCTTTTTTTCAGTTTTCCATTTTCCATTTTCCCAGCCCACTATGAATTGAAAACAGAACGGACGTAAACTCCTCTATCCCGAGATTGTTTCCCGTGGACAATTGTACGTAGATCCAAGGCGATCCGGCAACCCAACCTGGGGCAGCTGACCCTGGCAAGGTAGAACTAAAGCGCCCTATGTGGGAATTAAGAAACAGACCATTATCGTAATGAAACGTGAAAACTCCTGCCGTTAAGATGAATCTGAGAAAATCGAAGGGGTCGAAATGTCGGGGTCGGAAATGACGGGCAAAGAGCCCCCTTTCCAGAGTAAAGAAGCTTCTGTGAGATAAGAGGCTGGTCGTGCGGCGTCGTTGACCTTTTTGTTAGTTTGTCAAGCGCAGATATGATACAAGCGCGGTACGCAATATGTGTGTGAAGCTATTATTTTATGCGCCAGATTGACGGAATAAAGAATCTCTCAAGATGCCACGCGTTTGAGACGTACAAGAGGAGCTTTAAATAAAGGATGACGAACGGCGGGTATCTGTTAGTTAATGGCCACCTACACGGAGCAAGTAGAAGACGAGCCACCTCGAACTAGGACTCGTCGTCTCGTTTCTCGCCACGACGCATTCGCTCGCCCCATCTTCGCTTGCCAACACGGGTTTCGTAGTGGGGTACCATGGTCTTCATGTCTTGCGCCATGCCTTCGATTGCGGTGCAAGTCTTGTTACGGTAACAGTCAACTAGTAAATGTCAGCGCTATGTTCGAAGCGTAGCCTACAAACTTGGAATGTAAACTTACGTGCTCGCTGTAGGAAGACGGTCCTGCCCGCAAACACACGGCTATGCATCCACGCCATGCGGTAAGCTAGGTCGTTGAGTCGTACTTCCTTTATACGCGTGCCCCTTTTGATCCTCGGTATAGCAACCTCGGCCTCGTTTCCATCAGACATTGGCGCTTTCACCATGACCCGTTCTCTTACATTTCCCCTACGGGCATGCCTGGCTCGCCCGCCGTCAACTTCAACGTTGTCGTCGCTAAGGTCATCTTCGAAAAATTGACTACCCGTGGCGCTCGGAGGTGGGCTTTGCATTTCACGTGGGAAATAACTGCGTGGAAATACAGCCGAACTCTTGCGAAATGAATCGGGTATCTCTTTAGGATTCACATCTTCAAGGGTGACGCGTACACGAAGGCGAGAGTTGCGTTTATTATCCTCAACCAGTATAAACTTGCGCTTCTTAGCATCGGGAATATCAGGAAACAAGCCTTCCGGGTTTTTGTCATCATCTCTGCTCATGCGTCGAGCTACGATGGTGTTGTGGTGAGAAGCGCCAAGTCCATCATGGATCGGCGGCATGGACGATCCCGAGACGGGGTGGCTAGGGTACTGTTGGGGATAGCCAGTAAAAACTTGAGCCGGGCGGACGTCGTCTTGGCTTCTAGATCCCGGCCCGGTGGGTGCTTGATGATGGTGATGATGAGATCCATCCACATACTCTCCATCCCCTGTACAGAGATTCAAATTAGCGGACTGCACCAGAGCCGAGACGCTAATTGCGCAAATTAAGGCAGCAAAAAAATCGAATCGATGTGATATTTGCAATTTTGTGACAGAAAGGGTTCCAATACAAAGACAGCGGCGTGAGGTAGTGATATGTGCGCTTGGTGTGTTTGTGCAGCGAGATGCAAAGCAATGCCATGCAACTTTTGCTATCAGACAGACGACTAGACCGTCCCGAAGCAGCGAGGACTACCAAGTGCATGGCAGCTAGATAATGTACAGAATAGTGCCAGTCCCCCAGTGCTCCAAAAGCGCCCGCGGCTTTGCGCCGTTATATAAACATGAAAAGGCATCCAATCCAAAAATAACCGAATAGGCACGAGGTATAATGATAAGAGGTATCACGTAATTGCACAATGACAACAGCAACAACAACAGCAACAATAGCAACGCATGAATCACATCTGGTGAAACATACCGACTTCATCTCCTCCACCCTGAGCACCTCCTTCGTGGGCGTGGTGATGGTGCATCGCAGGACCCATGTTACTCATCCCAGGCTTCCCCATGGGCGTACCGCCACCAGGGCCAATGGCCCCAGGGGTTGACATCCCTGCCGGGCCACTGGGACCGGACATGTGTGTGGAGTGGGGAGTCTGAACCGCCTTGCGATTGTTCATCTTGGCCATTCGGCGCACGCGTCGACTTCGCAACCGAGGATCTTGATTGCTATTCCGCCAGCTGTCGACAGCTCTCTGGATAAGCCCTCTCTTCCCGCGGAGGCATGGATTGAGCTGGGCCAATGCCCAACCAACGGTGTTGCATTCAGTCTCATACTGCAACCGATTCCCTCTGTACTGATCTTTGGGACAGCATGCTCTGGGATAGACACAGTTTTCCGTCTTAAACTCGCTGCTAAGCTCGTCCGTGTTTACTGACTCAACATCGCAGCGAATCGTGTATTCCATCTTTACCCGGTCGCGGGAATATTCGAAGGCAATCCACTGCACACCGTTATTATCCTGCCTCACGACCAGCGGAGTAGTCGCTGGAATCGGCCCCGGTGCTGCATTATTGTTAACCCCAGGCGTTGATGACCCGGTAGGAGTTGATAATTGTCCGCCATTTTGAGCTGGCTGGGAAGTTCCTAAGGGTCCGGGCGTGGGCCGTTGTAGTTGCGAGGACATCTGAGGCTCCATCTTAGTATGCCGAGGGCTTCCCGTCATCCCGGGTTGCGCGTGTTGGCTTGCATGCTGCGTCATCTGATGCTGCGGGCCCGTGTGAGACATCATCATGTTTGGCTGCGAGGCCATAGGTTGATGTGGCTGTTGAGCGTGCTGTTGGTACGGGGAGGGAGCTTGCGGCGGCAGAGACGAGTATTGCGGTTGTTGCGCGCCATAGTACATCGATTGAGGCTGTAGCTGCGATGCTGGCTGACCATAGATACTTCGGTGTTGTTCGTGACCTGATGGCGACGCGACAGAAGCTGGCGAGTTCGATTGGGGCGTATGGTAAGACATCGGAGGATATGGTCTAGGCATTTGAGCTGCGGCCATCATATCGGAGGTGTCTGGCGATGTATGAGCCTATGCATTGACTTGAAGCAACGCGCACGACGCGCGACGTGAACTTACCTGCGGATGTATATCCGCTCGTTGTGCCTGGAGTGCTGTAAGGGCTCTGGTGAGCGTAGTAGGGCAGATCTTGCGCGTGCTGAGCACTCGGTGCGTGTCCAGTCTGCTGATAAGCTGGCTGGATCGAATGTGTTGACGAGTACGCGGAAGGGTGTTGCGACGGCTGTTGCGGCGCCTGGTGATGCTGCTGGTGAACGATACTCGAGGGCCGAGGATGCTGTAGGTGCTGGGGAGGCGCCGGACCCTGCGAGTGGTGGGGATGATGCTGCATAGAGGAGACAACCATTAGTCCTGAACTCTGGAGTGTCAAAGCCAAATAGTAACGACAACCATGAAAAGAAAAAGAAAGTAGGACGCGTCGGTAATTTTTATTTTCTTGACACTGTCAAGGTCCAAGGAACTTAAGCGTCTCCTAATGACGAGGTTCAACGGGTGAGGCTTGCTTAAGCGACGGGGGGAGGTATAGGTTATAAGACCAGGGGCCTAAGCATACTACCGTAAGAGATAAAGAATTGCAGTACCAGGAAATGACACCACCAGGTGCTTGCTCCTAAAAGGGAGGAGTGGATAGGAATCGGAAGCGGAACCCGAAAGTCTCAAAGTTCACCAACTAGGTTCTCCTTCAAGCCTATTTGGGACGCGACAAGAACAACAATGCCTCGAACACGTCGGGTATTAGTTATGAGAGAGATGTATGTATACACGCTTGACAGGGGGACAGCTAGTGTAGAGAATAGAGGGCAAAAGCAGATTTGAGATCGGAGCGAGGATGCCAAATGCGACGATGTAGAGGCAGGGTCAACGCTATTTGAGCTATGTAAGGTGAGATCGCAAGGTATGAAAATATCGAGGTAAGGATACCTTTGGCGTACCCTCTAGGTGTAAAACTGGGACCTAGTGTATGGATGGGACTTATTATGTATCAATATGTACGTCCTTAGAAGCCTCTCATTCCGGGATAATTAACAGGAACGATATGACTGCTTAGTTTGGTAGAGGAAGGACGTGCAATGCCTGCGGCAAAGCATGAAATGTGAACGATGAGAAATGGGAACTTGGAGATTTCGTGTTAGGGTGTGGACGGATCAAGATGTGGGACATCGCATGGAAGAAACGTGACAGGGGGCAAGGGGGACAGCTGCATTTTTAGATGAAGTGGCCAATGGCGGCACGGCCAAGCAGGGCTAGCCTACCCAATGAGGTATTCTATGCCCGGGGCTAGCCAACAGTACAGGGGAGAGGTCCTTCGCGAGTTCTCAGGGAGTAAGGCGGTGTGTACGGGGCACGATCGAGGTACTCGAGAATTGCGTGTAATCGAACTGGCGGATCAGAGAACCGCTCACGACGAAACTCGTCCAGGCATTGAGACGACGTACTGGACGATCCTCACGTCGAAACTCTCCTAGCCGGTAGAGTCTCCAGTCACTTGACTAGGAAACATAACTCGGTGGCCAGTTTTTTTTTTTTTTTCTCTCTTTCGGTCCTCTGCTAAATTCTGAACCAAAGCCATGGTGGTGTGGTAACAACAGCGAGTCCTGAGGGACTTCCGTGATACCTATTGGAGAATTGTACCGGATCCACTTGATGGCCAACACCCACTCTCTGTTAGGCTTGAACCCTCCATGATTGTGTGAAGTACCGTGTACGACTTCGGTCGAATATTATTTTTCCCTTTTCCTGTTTCTGCCCCGAAGGTATGATAATGCCCACCACACTAACCCAACTTATTGTACGTTGGAATTAAGCCGGAGGAAATCGACCCTATATAGCGCTAGGATATAGCGTGGAAAAAAAGATATTTTGAAGGGACTCGATTCCGTTGAACCCGCTGAACCCGCTGAACCCGCTAAACCCGCTGAACTTTTTTTTTTCTTAGGTCGTAGCTTAAAATGGAAAAGATTCTCTCCAACAGCTCTAGCCCCCTAGAGACGGTTTTTTTTTTTTTTTCTCATTTTGTTTGGCACTTACGCCATGAAACATTTGGGGTGTAGAAAGAAGAAAAAAATACAAAGCTTTGATCAAAATGGTGACAGTGTGGCTGCCGAGCAAAACATACGGAGTAATGAAATGATGAATCGTGGATTTAAGAGAAAGCTCCTTGGTCTCCCCGCATCCACTTGGGCAGGGGGCATCACGGGCACGTCAGCGTTCTAAATGGTAATTGATAGGATTAGAAGCATCATCACCCTTGAAAACAGACTGGGGACACTAAGGCAACCCGCACAAGCCCTGTTCCAGAAGACGGATCCTTGTTGCTTGTGAAACAAGCATGCTCCCCTGTAATTCCCTTGACTTCAAGACTGATCTAGGTAGCCTGGCTTGTAGTGTAATAAGCCCAACGACCTTCTGGAAACGCAGGAACTCAATATAGATATCATGATCCATGTTTAAGCTTTACGCGTTGCAATAACGACGCGTTGCTCCAGCATGCTTGACACGGGAACGGCTTGGGTTGTGGCATTGTAGCATCTGCGAACGTCGTACGGCTGGGCTGACTCGGGTCGAGCTTGCGAGCCGGCAGATCTACATTCGCGAAGTAGCACTTGCTCCGGGGCGTTGATGTAGAATCGTGGTGAAGCATACCTGTAAATAAGATAAAACTCACCGGGTCTGGACGCTGTTCCTCCTTCAGGTACGAGTTAGAAACCTGTCGGTGTTGCCCCATCTTCATAACTATTATAGCGTAAATGGGGTCTGGCTCTAGGTGGATTTATAGGTCTTTGTTGGTTTTGCTATGTATCTCAAATCAGCAAAGAAACAAACAATGGACCAGAGATGGCCTGGCTTTCTCCACATGATTTAACTTGATGGGAAAACATGGGAGGGCAGGTGGATTAACAGAAGAGACCACACCGTACATGGGAAAAATTCCCCGCATGCCGTACTATAGAGCCGGGATGAGTGTTGCATTTCCCAGTGCGCACATAGACATACAACTTTAAAGCAATTATACTTGACGAAAATGGAATGGACATACTCACACTATGTTGTAATGATTGTATCCGTTCAATCGTGGAAGATCGTTATAATGATTAATGAAAGAGACAATGGTAGCCCCAAGTATTTTGCTGAAGGACGGGTGGCTGACCTCTTTTCTATCGTAAGGTCAGTAACATAATGACCAATGTATAATGATGTGGATACAACATTGATGACCATCAACAAACATCGATATTATTAATAGTAACAGATATCGATAAGAAAATATTCTATCGACGAGAGTACACAGTAACGAATGACAAAGTCACGTAAATCCTTCAGCTGAAGCTTGCCGAGAAATTGAGATGCGCGTAGGTGCAGTGAGAAGGAGATGTATCGTTGAAGGCGGTAGAAAACGAGGAAGCTAGTGCGTAAGAAAATTCCATGACGATGAGCATGATAGTGAAGGCGAGTAGGCAGTGGACAGTGGACAGTGTAACAATAATAACCTTCATTCAAAGAAAGAATAATCAATTATACGCACCTCGGGCTACGATAGAATTAGTAAACAGAGGGTCGAGAAAGTTTGGCCGAATAACCAGATGATCAAATGGCAATACAGTGTAGTAGAAGCCGTGTCATGCCTATGCTGGACAATCCAAAGCGTTGGGTATTCGGTTCGCGGCTCTCGACAGAATCCCGCGTTTCCCTCGTGGCTTTTCGGTGGTTTTTTTTCTTTTCTTTTTTTTGCAAGGTTGAACCTTTCCACTGGTATCAGTGAGGTCGAATCGCGTGTCTTAGGTATGAGCTTCAGCTATGCCTGCCAAATCTTGCAGATAGCTGCGCGCATCAACAACGCAAGCGACGTAACTTTCTGCAAGTTATCTGTCGTGGCCAGGCCCCGGGATTAGATCTGTGCTGCCATATTAGTTCATGCATGCCAGCCTTGTCTAGTCAGATACCGCCAGGAGAATGAGGAAACAAATGCATGGTTCCCCAAGGCGAATGGGGGGACGACAAGGAATGGGGTGTTGGAGGGGTGTAGGGACAGGCCGCAGTTACTGGGGTTCGGCAAAATGACATTTCATAAATTGGGTGACCAACTACGTATTGCGGCGCCTCTGACACCGAGTATATGATGGGGTAAAAGCAGGAGTGAAGCCCGATACGTAGTATTAAAGATATAGGCGAGATTATACAAGTGATAGCAATGTGCGAGTGACTAGCTGTACGAAAACTTCCGCATCAGTGAAGTTTTGATAGGTAGGTCGATGGAATTATATTGGGCATGGGTTACAAGGCAATTTTTAAAATCCGATCTGAGGGTAAATTGACGGCTAATGAACAAGAAATACAAGGGTGTATCTCATAGCTAGGATAGAATGCTACCTCGATATGTAGCAGTTGATAACGTCAACCTGACAAACTTGAAGGTGTTGAAATCAACGCGCTTTTTTTCTAGACGCTAAGAAAATAGGAACCGTGGTGTCCTTACCAGAGGATTCAAAGCGCTTCGAGTAGAGTAAAAGGTATCAAGCCGGTGACCAATAATATGTGAATAGAACGGCAGTCAACCAACAGACGGTCGCCTGGCGCACTCTGCTGAACTGCTGGGATCAGGGATTGACACATGCATCAGAAAGGCGAATCTTCAGCCTCTTTGATACCTGTCAATCTGGGATCAAGTGATGTAGACACGAACGGCCAGATACAGACGGCCGATAATACCGGGTCTCTGGATGCGTCAACGTCGGATGGTAAGGACTCTGACTCAGCTAACAGTCACGCCCTGCTGTCATTCAGCAAGATAACAGGTTGCAGTGAAAGACGGGCGTCGACGGATATCGGGACAGGCTCCAAAGATGATTGGCTCCTGCGCTCGTTGTATAATTTGGCCTTCTCAGATAAACAAGCACGTACTCGTTGCGTGAGAGTACTACTTATGGTTTGTAATTTGATGATATAGCAGTAAACTACCTAGATAGGAGTTAATCGTGAACACGAAGAATAAAGGCTATAGCGCAGCCAAAGATCTTTACTACTAAAGCAGCCTATACAACATGGTATTTCTTATGGTCACCTTGTAATCCTCCTAGGATGATGGGATGATGGGGAGAACCCTCAGGGATCATTAAGAGCGGGAAGCAGCAGGGGTACAATAGTTCCGAGAAACCCTGATTCAGATCGACGGCTGAATCCACGCGCGCGAAAATAGAGCATACAACGGATAGGAGGCTTGAAATCAGTGTCGCACAATTGTGAGAGGCAGAAAAAAAACGCGAAATAAATAAGTATTGTGAAGGGAGAAATATTATAGAAAAAAATAGATGGTATGAACAGATGATGATCTCG